AAGGTAGAATCTAGCATTGGTCAAAGTTGCAGAAGAAATAAAAACTGAATATATAAAATAGTATATGATAAAAAGAAATTGGGAATCAATGTAAACTTGAAACCCCAATTAGAGTCAAAAAGCAAATTATTAGTATCAACGGCATTTGGCTAAATCTAGACTATGTTACTGACTCTGAAAAAGTCTTTAGTAATTGGGCTGAAGCCACTTGGATAGCCATAGCCAATAAAAATTGGAATGCTTTACAAGCAGTTAGATTTATAGAAGTCACCTTTAAAGGGATAGTTCATGACTGGTTTGCTAGTCTAAATGAAGAAGAAAGTAATGCCATTATAAGTGGGAATCCTACTTCAGAAGAAGTTAATGAAAACGAAGCAATCCAAGACATAATAACTAGATTTAATTAGCTATAAGGAAAGAATTTTTAGGAGAAAATATGGAAGAAAATCAAGAAAAAGAAAAAGCCAGAATTGGAAGAATAGTAGTGTGGAATCTGTAGAATTTAGAATTATGTAATCTTTGTGAGCTAGACCAATACATTTGTTCTATTTTAGAAATTCTATTATAAGGCCTCAAATCATGGAATGGCATGGCTAAAGGCCTAAGGGAATTATTTTTTGGAAAAATATTAATCCTTGGGAAATAAAGCTAGCATAAGCCTATAAAACCTATGTAAAAGATAATACCGATACATTAGGCCTAAGGATTTGGTTCGCTAAAAGCAAAATAAATGAATGGTGTATGGAAACTTATTGTTATAACAATTAGAAAGAGTATGAAAAAGGGGTTATGTTGTCCTAATAAATAGTGATCCAATCAAGTCAAGATATAATTATTCAAACTACAAAAGAAAAATAAAAGATTTAAAATTAGAAGAAGCAATAAACAAAGGTTTAATAAAAATAAATTTTCTAGAAAAAGAAGAGATATTTTAAGAAAACAAAAGCACCAAGAAAATATAGAAAGAATCCTAAGAAATGTACATATTGGTTATGTAAAGAAGGACACTATGCAAATGAATGTCCTAAAAGATACAAAAGAGAAAGTATTAAAAATCTAAAAATCAAATGAATGTCCTAAAAGATACAAAAGAGAAAGTATTAAAAATCTAAAAATCTATGAAGAAGAGTTAAGTGAAATAGAGACTAGCTCTAAAAATAGTAATGAAATTATATATGAACTAGAGAGTTTAGATACTTCCAGCAGCAATGAATCCAATTGTTGGGGAAGGAGAAGCTTATTCTAAAGAATATGAAAATTATGGAGAACACAATCTAATAACTATGTTTGATAAAAGTAAGTGTAAAAGAATTAGATAAAAAGAAAAAGACCCTGCAACAGAAAAGGGATTCAAGTGAAGTTCCTTTATTAGTAATCCTTTTAAAAGGAAAGATATAGTTTATTATGGAATGTCTACCAAAGAATATAGTATTCCTATGAAGAATACAACAAGAATAATAAACATACCTCTGCTCATCAAGTCAAAAATAAAAAGCAAATTGTCAAAAATCAAAGAATTTGTTAGATCAAGGATAGGATTTATCCATATAGGAGGAATTCAAATTCTTATTAAAGCTCATTTTAGAGAAGGTATAGACACCCCAATAAAGATAGCTTTAATAAACAACAAAATTAACGATAGAAAGGATGCTATCCTAGGATTAGTGTAAGGTAACCTTAGCTACCAAAAACTCATGTCCACAATACATCCAAAGTATGATGTAAATATTAATGATAGAGATATCAACAAAACACTAAGTCTAGCACATGAATTTGCTAGAGAAAATTTTATGAAAGACAGATCAATGCCATATAGTATTTACTATATAATAAGTTATGCATTGACCAATAGTCATCGGTTTAATCTTTTTAAAGATAAAGAATATATTGAATTAGATCCTATGTTCTCTAAAATAGGACAAATTTAAAAACTAGAGATGATCACTAAAATAGAGCTACCCAAAGAATGGGATTTGGACATTAGTGAAAAACTACTCCTAATAAGAGTAAGAGAAAAACCTAGATTAATGGCATATGAGTCAAGAAGACTATTAGTTAGAACAGAATCTAAACCACGCCATAGAAATAGTATAGACTTAGGTGCATTGAGCTACTTAAGAAAGATAAAGAAGTCTTAACTAGGACAACTAGTATTAAACATGAAATGGTATTAGACACCTTAAAAATCCCCTCTAGACATTTTAAAATATAGGGAGACTATTATTATGGAAAGGAATGGCATAACATTTCTATCTTAATTGATACAAGGGTAGGAGTAACATATATCCATGCAAATATGATCCCACACCTACAAAGATTGGAACTCACTAAACCTTATACATATTTCAAGTTGAATGGTGAAGTGACCACAGTGCATGAATATGCCAAAGTACCTCTTAGAATAAAAGATAAGAGTAGGATACAACATGAAATTATTATAACAGTCATGCTGAAACACAAATGACTACAAGTATAGAATTGATGCTAGGAAACATATTCTTAGCATTAGTATAGCCATATAATATTCAAAAATATTGCTTGAAGATCTCCTTAAGTGGAAAAGTAGTTATACCAAGATAATATGAAAACTAGTGTCTATAGTGTATACATATCTATTGGAATAAAGTATGAGTAATATAAAACAGAATTCTTTCATGCTTTTATAGATATAGGATTTGAGATATGTTTGGCAAAAACCAATGTATTCCCAAATTATTATTGGAAGCAAACCTCTCAAACAATGAAAGGTGTAGCCATAGATAAAAGTATTATTCAATATCAAACAATAATACAAAGGGTTATTGGCATAACTGGCAGGACTAAAGTTATAATTCCTTGAATTTATGAAAGTAATGAGCATGGGAATGACATTCTATTAGGAAACAATTTTCTAAGCCAATTCAAGTAGTATATTCAAACTGCATTATATGTAAAATTTTATACACCTTGTGGTCATTGGCTTTACGCCTCTAGAATATATAGCGCCTATAGTAGAACAATAAAACCATTAAATTTTTGTAGCCAATGTGGTAAATATAATACAAAAACTCGCTCAAAAGATATTAGAAAACCAGTGTTAATAGTGTGGAATAATGAAAAAACACAAGAAGAAGTAACCTTCGAATCTATTTCAAAAGAATTAAGAAGTAATTATGGAGAAGATCCTACAAAACTATGGGAAATTGATAAAACTTATGTCATAATTGAATTAATAGACCCTAAAACTATCATTAGAGTCAAACAAATAAGGTATAGTCTTGAAGATAGAGAAAAATTTGAGAAACAAATCCAAGAATTAATAGCTCAAAAGATTATACAAGCCTCCAAGAGCCCGCATAGTAGGCCTGTCTTTATGGTGAGAAATCATAATGAATTAAAAAGAGGAAAAGTTAGAATGTTTATCAACTACAAGCAACTTAATAGCAAGATTGAATTTGACGATTACTTTTTACCACATAGTTAAAGAAATTCTAATAAATAGCATTAGAAGAAAGAAGATATATTTAAAGTTTGATTGTAAATCAAGATTTCAGCAAATTAAGCTAACTCCTAAAAGTATTCCATTAACAGCCTTTTGTGCCCCTACAAGACAATATGAATGGCTAGTAATGCCTTTTGGATTGAAAAATACACCTCAAATGTTTCAAAGACGAATGGATAATGTATTTTCGTTTATTAAAAAATTTTGCATAGTATATGTAGATGATATATTAATCTTCTCTGATAATGAGACAGAACATCTATATCATCTTAAGAATTGCATATTTATGCAAGAAACATGGAATATTATTTTCTAAAAAGAAAGTAGAAATAGGAAAAACCAAAATTGAATTCCTTGGATTAACAATAGATTCCACAAGAATAGAATTACAACCTCACATTAGTGTAAAGATTTCATTGTTCTTAGATAAATTAGAATCTAGACAATAGATTTAACCGTTTTTAGGAATACTCAACTACGCAAAGTAGTTTATTCAAACCTTGGCTCGATTAAGATATCCTTTGCAAAGTTGCTTAGAAAAAGAGAGTCAACAATGGGAAATTTATCACACCAATCATGTGAAAAGAATTAAAGAATATTGTAAGAACCTTCCTATGTTACAATTACCTAGAGATGACAAAGAATTAACTTTAGACTGTGATGCTTTAGATTTTTACTAGGGAGTAGCTTTGAAAAGTTCTTAAGAAAAAGTGTGTAGATATGCTAGTGGTACATTTAAAGACGTAGAAACAAGATATCATTCAAGTCATAAAGAATTATTGGCCATTAAAAATGGAATTAAACAGTTTAGTTTCTTCTTATTACTAAAACATTTTAGGATTAGAATTGACAATACTCAAGTTAAGGGATTTACTTTTAATAAATTACCTGTAACACCAAAATATAAAAGATTAAATAGATGGTGTTGGTTGGTGATGTAGGTTGATGAGTCAGCAACAGTGATGATGTGGAGGCTGACTAGGATGACACCCGAGGAGATGAGGGGGGGTTCTTTCGACGGGACCCATCTCACATGCACATGGCTACATGCTACGGGCCATCCCGTTCTGTCCAGCAATGATATCACACAGCTTGCTCCCCAGTGAAGTTGCAGAACATAAATCCCTTGGCTAAGCTACTGGAGCCAAACAACGACAACAAACTTCTTGTAGACTCGGAATGATTACACAACTACCAAAACTATCAATAAGAGTATGCATATACGGTTGGAAGGGTGACGAAGATGATAAACATATGGGGTTCAAAGATTACAATTTTGAAGTTACCTTTACACATAAAACACCATGACATAGTAGTAATGACACCAAATGAAACCTCTGTCATCTTTAGTGAACCTTTCCACCCTATAACGCACAACTCTCATGTTGAACATGAAGGGCGTAATGACCCTCCTTTTGAAATTTCTTCAGGAACAAAGAAAATGAAGAAGATAAACTCGAAAATAATGATGGAAGAAAGAAAGGTGTTCGCTTGGGGACGCTTATGGGTTGAACTATTAATCTCGTTCTTTGATGCTAACCATGCGACTTGATCGTCTGATGCTCAAGATGAATTACATGGGTGATGGAACTATAAGCTGTTGTTTCCCAACCATAATATGCTGCAAATCTGGGAATACTCTGCGATATTGGAGATTATCATGCGAAGCTAGAAGTCATTCTGCAAGATTGGAGATACAGAGAAACGATGATTTCTGGGTAGCTTTTAACATGCGGATGATGGATTACAGGTGGAGTAATTTTTATGAGGGAGGAAGTATGAGGATCTGATGCGTGAGAAGAAAATCTGGGTTATTCTGTGTGTCCTTTTTTGAACAGTAAGGGAGGGATGATATATGCAGTCAAGGGTAGTTTTGTAATCCTACTTAATATGTCAGAAATGTACAGATAGGTCCAGGTGAGTTGTCAAGCTGTCACGCCCCAGAACCGAAATCCGGGGACGTGGCAGACGCCGTGCACTCGTGAGAGGGTCCCACAAATGCACAAGGCTCGGAACTTATCATATTGTACTCTGATACCACCAAAATCTGAAGATCAACTTTTAAAATCTGCTCTAATATCATAAAATCTCCAAATACAAGATCATGAATTGTTTCTAAAATTCATATCCAATTACAATATGCCTAGCCTTCTAACTCGTCACTTCCCGTGGTTTCCCCGTTCTCGGTTTCATTTCCTGAAATGGTGGACAAGGAAAAACTATGAGATAAACTCAGTAAGTAAATATGGATAGCCCTTAATCAAACTTATAGCATGCCAACAAGTACAATCACGAAAACGGATACAATACGGGCACGAAATAGACGTCTCCTCTATTAGTCATGGCCAGTTCCCACTGGCAGGCAAACAGGAATTGCTAGTGTTTAACTCCCACTAGCAGGATTACGGGAATGAACCGGTTCTATCAGGAACATGTCGACATGTGCTAGCGTTTGTAACCTCCCCCACTAGCGGGGTCACGATTACACGACCATATCGGAGACAAAACAGGCAGAAGTTAACAGGGAAATCACATTTCACAATCACTTTCAGATCATCAGGACAGTCACTCAAATTTCAAGTAGGCATGCTCAATTTCATGAAAAGCATAAAACATTTCACTTCAAATCAGTCATGCTCGTGTAAAACGGGTTTAGTCCCGCCACCACTTCAAAAACAAATCAAAACATGCTTTTAAAACAGTACGGGCATTACCATAAATTTACTTACCTCACTCGCATAAAACCAAGCACTCAATTCACGTACTAACTGACAGAACGATCGAGAACCTAATCAAAATACCTCAGAATTAATACCAGACTATCATAAATTCAAGCTGAAATCATCATTAGGATCATTCCTAATCACAATGCTATTTCTATCTCCACATAATCAAATATCTCCAAATTCGTTCTTATATCACAAACTAATCATTTAAATTCCCGTTAAATGTTGGCCCTCGGGGTGTGAACAGTGCCGGTGAACAGTGACCCCGACGTGAACAGTAACCCCGACTTTCACAAATTGGCCAAAACACTAACTAATCTCACGGGATTTTCCTCCAAAAATCACAGCAATTAATCAAGCTAATTTACACTTAAACCAAGCTTAAAACATGCTCAAAGGCTACCGGAATTTCCCCCATTTTTCCAACACAATTCAGACATACAAGGGCAGCAAACAATGGACAAATTCGAGCTTAAAGAAGTGGCCCTCATACCAGAATTTAGCAGCTGCAGAACCGGGCCTAGCAAGGGGGAGAAGGCCGGCGGCAAGCTGCAGGGAAAACTCACAGGTCTTGCAAAAATTGGAGGAAATAAGAGCGATTAACGTAAACCCAAGCCAATTGAAGGAAAAACAAAGGGATTTAATGGCTGTTTCTTACCCAAAACCCAAGCAATTCGCCCCCCACAAGCAGGAGCAGCCGGCGGTGAGGAGCAGAGCATAGCAGATCCGGTTTTCCAGCAGGGGGAGGGGAAATTTCTGGGTTCTATTTGGGTTCTAGAGCAAGAAAGGAAGGAGAAAACCAAGATTATCTCACCAGTTTCTCAAAGCATGGCTGGGTTCCCCTTTTTTTTTTTCTCTCGGGCTGCAGCGGGAAGACAAGAGCAGAAACGGGCTGGAGAAGAAAGAGGAAAAGGGAGAAAAGAAATAAGCCATCCTTATCCAAATTCTCCTCTTTTAAGTCCCTCAAGTTTGGATATTTTGGCTATTAAGCCCAAAACAATATCTTTCCACAATTTAGTCCTTAACTGAATGCTAAAATATCACAAAATTTTGGGGTATTACACAAGCTTAGAGTGGTTTTGGGCACTATTGATGGTTGCTCTGGCGTTGGCATCATGAGTTGCCCGTTGGTTCCAGCGATGGACTAGAAACTGGCCATTATTGGAAATTCTCCCAACCATACGAAACTTCGTTTTGGAAGGATGCTTGAGTGCAACTGACAGAAACACCACCTACACAGTGATTTGGTAAGTTCCCCAGGCTTTGTTTGAGATTTTGGGAGATTTTGCAAGCAGATAGTGATCTTCCATAACAGTTTCCAAAGCTATGAAACTTGTGCAGCCACCCTTGCATTAAATATGGTTGCAAGTTACTGATGGTGATTCAAGCGACATCTTCAGTCAGTTTTCAACAGGATTTCCAGCCTCTGGTTAGCATCAAAGGATATTGTTCTAGGAATTAAGTTTGTTTCCACACCTTTGCTACCCAGCCTTTTTTGGCGAAATCGAGCAACATCGCTAGTGCCAAGCTTTGCCAACACGAATGCCTTGCTTCGCCAGAAAGGCAACGTTAACCTATCCATGCCTACCAAGCCACTACCCCTATAGTTTATCCCGAGTAATTCCCATGAGCTTGGATTCACGGGCTTGCGCTTATCTACGATAATAACAAAGTACATATGAGCATATATTTGAGTGTTTTAGATACAAGCAATATGTGAATATACGCAACAAAGAAAGGAACTCCCGTATATGTTGAGGAAGACCATGTGGGCAAACGTTCGTTGCTCCCATTTATTCGCTAGCCGTGGCAGGTGTTGCTTTATTGTTGCTATGATTGGCTGGTGTTGTTCTAGAATAGAGAATGGATGTCATGGGTGTGTGCTGCGATATCGTTCTCCGAGGCCAAGCTTCGCTGGCTAGCGGTTCTTGCTAACACTTAGAATATAAAGGAGATATGTTATAGATTGGGATTACCATCAATTGATTACTTTGTCCCTTTGTATAGAAAGATGATGATATACATGACCGCCAGCCATGTTGCATAAGTATTATGGGGTCAACCATGGATAGCTTTCCCATAGCCAGAGGGACAATAGTGGCTAGCTTCATCCATGGCTGGAGCGCAAACTACGTGGAATTGGAAGAGCACTCCCATTAATTCGCCAAGTCGCGAAGGGGTAAATCTCGTTAAACCAGACTCCACCATTGCAATGAAGATGTGATAGAGAGAGATGGAGTTGTCTCCATGTAAGGGGGATGCCAGCCACATCCATGGCCTTTGATACGACAAGGTGTGATACCACTAACAAATGCTAGCCCTTCTTGCCATACTCGTACCGTCAAAGGTTGGTCTTGGTTGTTGTTGCCCGTCGGGCACCGCACCACATGCACAGGTGACCACTAAGGGACCACCGGCTGCTACTTGATGGTTTTTCATCTTTAAAGGGTAGCCATTCCAGTCGATTGCAGGATTGCAACTGTTACCGACCTCATGCTAGTCGTACCGAGTTGCATTGACTGTTTGTTTGTTTTCAAGAGCTAGTGAGATAGATATGTAGCAGATTTGGTCCTTTATCCATTAGAAGCTGTGTAAATGTAATATGATCAGCTCGTTGTTCGTTGATGGGAACTAGTGATAAAGATATATAGGAGTGGATGCTCAGCCCACTGTCCATCGTTGGGAGCTATATAGATGAACCCGTTGTCCTTTGATGGGAGCTATGTAGCAAAATAGGTTATTTGTCCATTGTTGGGAGCTACGAGATACAACAAAGAACATCGTTGTAGAGGACATGGTTGTCAAGAAATGCCCAACCATGTCGTCGAAATAGACTTAGCCATGTCTGGCCATGTGTGTGGAGATAGATGCTGGAGTGAGTCACATTCTGCGATATTTCCAACGAAGTGAATAAGTGCCCCCCTCTAGCGATGTTGATTCCATAGTGGCAATTAGTAGAAAATTGGAATCACACGTCGGATGTGGGAAGATAAGTATTGTGGTCTTTTGCTGATATGGACCCGCACATGTCATTAATTACATAGCCATGCGAATTCATCCCTCAACAGATGGCAAACATTATTTGCTAAATATGATTTTGAAATCGAACATGTCAAAGGAGCTAATAATTGTCTTGCAGATTTTTTGGCAAAGAAGGAGCTAATGGATGAAATCCTTAAACTCAAAAATAAAGGAAAAGACCTTATTCTTGAAGGTCAAAAGAAACTTATTGAAGGCAATAGCCAAATAAGAGAAGGCTAGGAAAATGATCAAAGGCTAAGAGATAATGGATGAAAGCCATAGCCTTATGGATGAAGGCCAAGAAAAGATTATAAAAGGCCAAGAGCTATTAAACAAGGGACAATATGCCCTTGAAAAAGTTAAAGAGTTGCTAGAAAAACTAATGAATTCTAGAGTAATTACTTTTGTCAGAATCAGCTCTAGAGAATCTAGCCAGATGGCAAAGAAAAGCTCCTAACAATAGTTGAAAGAAAAATTTGAACAAGGTGATCCTTCAATAGGGTTACTAGGAGAAAGTTCGAGGAAATTTGACTATTATGTCAAATACTCTCCCCCAGAAGTATCAACATCTCAAGCTGAAAAGCTGGTTATTCAAAATGCTAAAAACCATAACTTTCGACCTGATTACTCAAGAAAGAAAGAAAAGAAAGTTACAATGTTAGACACCTTGTCGAAAATGACAATGAGTGAAGAATATTTGCTAAAAGGTTAAATGCTAAATTTGGTCCCTCAACTTTAGTGAGTTGCACATTTTTGGTCCCTTAACAATTTTTTGCACTTTTCTGATCCCTCAACTATATGAAATGCACTCCGTTAGTCCTTCTGTTAATTTCGATCGTTAACTCGCTTACGTGGCATTTTTTATAATTTTTTTGATGACGTGGCAAAAACAAATTGAGAACATGTTAGACGTGGAATTTCTTTTATGCCAACTCACCTTATTCTTATTTATATTTTTAAAAAATAAAATAATTCGTTCATTTTTTCCTTTCTCTTTTTCTCTTTTTTTCTTCCTCTTCTTTCTTCTTCTTCTTCCTCTTCTTCCT